AGCCACGTACGGTTCCAAGGTGCAGTTGTATTGCTTCGGAGGAAGGCCGGATAACGCCTGCACGCAGTGCAACGCTTAAATGTTCTTCTTTCGTTCGAGAAGATGTCGATCGATCTCGCGATTACCCGCCTTTCTTTCGATACGAATCGAGCTACCGTGCGTTTCGTCTGTCGCGCTAGAAATTCGTTACGTCGTTCGTTGTTAACACGGCCTTGAGAACTGTACGTATAGGCACAGCTGACGAAATATCGAGCAACGTTGGCGAAGTGAAACGAAACGAACCCGAGGCCGTTGAACGTCGCGAGTCCTTAGAGATTCGTAACTCGATTTCCATTCCGACGAGAAAGTAGGCACAAAGGAGGATCGGATGAAAGGAAAGCGTTTAATACCTCGATACCAATAACGAGTTTCCCGGTGATAGTTTCGTCGCAGGGCGGCAAGTACTGCAGGCTTATCGTCAGTTCCGTCGGGAATTCCTTTTGCTTCCTCTCGGCTTTCTGCTTGTCCTTTTGCACCAAATTCTGCAACGTAACACGCGCCAATGGATCAACAAGGCAGCACGATCTCGGCCAATTAAAATGAAAATCGGCACGGTTAACGGAGCTCACCAGGGTGGACGAGGTATCGGTGCAACCGAATTGAGCGTTGTTGGAATTCCAGGAATTGCCCTCGATCGGACTGGCGTTCTCGTCGATCGTACCTGCGCGAAAATTGATCAACTCGTTGTTAGCCAGGTTGAAAGAAAAAGAAGACGAAGAGGAGGCGAGCATCGGACACGACGGACTGATAGAGAAAACGGATAAGAAAAGCGATTGAAAGGTACCGTTGCTGCTGCCTTCGTACAGGCTACCCAATCTCCATGACCTGTAGCTGACGTCGTTCAACTTGACGTTTTCATTCTGTTTGCTCTTGACACGCAACGGCACACTTTTTGCTTCTCTCTCTGAAAAGAATTATTCTCGGCTTTGATTATGCAATTTGTAAACAGCCGCGATTGCTCGCCGCTAATTGCGCTTTGGTACACGTAGCGAGCCGAGTGCCGATTTCTAAAACGTTCGAACAACCGGCATTCTAGGATTCGAAACGTTTAACATGGTGAATAAACGCGTGTGAAAGGTAAAAGCTGGTTAATTTTGCGATTAAAAAGCGGAGTAATCGACATTTTTAATTGGCAAGTTCATCGAACTTGTAACCACGATTTAGGTGACGCGACACTCTTTGTCGGAGGAAAAAAAGATACTCGTCCGATAACGGAATTTATCGAATTCTTGCGTTGCCTGGTGGATGGGCGTTTTCGTAGCGGCGCTATCGAAGACCTGTGTGCAGTTAGTTTGCAGGATGACATACCTAATTACGTAACGTCGCGGAGGAAACGAAGGAAACGTCGTCGTTTGCATGTGTGTATAAATATAACTGTGCGAACAATGGCGTAATGTATCAACCGCCGCGTACACACGAGATTCGCGATTCACCATGCAGGAATTTAAGCTTCCTTCCTTTCAGCCGAATAGCCTGTTCTTCGTTGGACAAATGTCGCTTGGAATAAAGGAATCGCGCTCCGCATACGGACGAATAATTTTATAATCGGCGTGGCGACACGTACGAGCTGAAACGAACGCTGTAATAAAAACGAACGCAGGAGAAACGATCTACGACAAGTTTCGCGACCGATCCGTGCGTTCTTGTCATTTTAGTTTTTACGTAAACGCGTGCGAAGAATCTCCGTTCCACATAGCAATTGAAACGCGTCGAGCAGCGTTCCGCGAGTGGACAAACGCGAGCATCCGGTAAACCGAGCGATCGTCGGCGTATCATCGAGCCGAGGCTCGAAGGCCCTTTGGCTCGAAAGGTATCAAAAGCGAGGCGTACGAGCGATTATTTTTCCCGGCACGCGTTTCATGTACAAGCACGTGTGCGCGGAAGCAGAGCTCGCGGACGTGCCGAGAAAACGAAATACCGGTGGCTTGGCTTAGTCGCCAGACGTTTAATCAACGCTAAGCACCGACGCCAATTGCCTGGCCGCGAGTTCGGACAGCCGACGAAACGACGCGCCGTGTCGCGCTACATCCTCGTTTCGTAAACTCGGCGTATTCGTGCGACAAAGTACACGATCACCCGGCCACGGACGGCCACGTCGCTTCCGTAGATCGACGTTCCGATCGCAGATGGAACGCGTGGCGAAAATAAAATACGCTCTAATAAACTGATAAATTTCGACGAACGAAACGCGTCGGTATTCGAGTAGCTCCATCGCAGCGACGAAGCGAGCAATCGTCGACGCAAACTCTTCGTCGCAACTTACGAACGAGCAGCCCTTGAGTAGAATTTAAGAAACTTTGCGATTCGTCGCTTTAATCGGGAGCGCGATACTCGAGCGTATGGATCGAGCGAACGTTCTCAAAAGCTCGTACGAATGGCAATGCTTGTGATAATAACGCGATACGTGTGTGGGCGTAAACGGCAGGGCTTACTTCTTTTCACGCATTCGTATCCAAGGCATCCTGGCGTGAGAAAACAGGCGATCACGAGCAAGAGAAGGACGATGGCCAGCGCTGCCGCTACGACGATAAGAATTCGGCCCCATGGGCCAAAAAGGTCACCGTGCACCATTCACTAGAAACGTTGCAAGATTACTACGGATCGATGTCAAAAGGAAACGATCGACGATCGATCGGAAACGCCGGTTAGTCGGCTTTCTAGTTTCACCGTTTTACGGTTTACTTGGTCCCGATGCGGTTCACTACGTTACCGAAATTATTCCCAAACGTTTATCCGAGACGGTGTGTTTCTGGCGGTGGACGCGGAGAGCAGGAAAATTACTCGCGTGTCGCGTCACGTTGCGTACATCTGTCGCGCAATTCTCGCGTCGGTGGAAAGAGGAGAAAGAAGTCGCGTTAAATGCGCGCAGAGAACACTCGTGCTTTTCGCGCTCGTTTCTAACCGCTGCAGAAAAATGAGAGGAAGCTTCCGACGTAGAGGAGCACGTCGAGCCGAATGCAGCCACCGTCGCTTCGATCTTTTTCCTCTTTATTCGAGTTGCACTCGCGTGCCGGGATAAAGCGTCGGTCGGAGGAAACTCACGCACACCGAGCGCACCGTGCGAGAAAACCGCGTACAGGTACATGGCGTATACCGGGCGAATTGAGCGTTTGTCTCGAGTCAACGTTTCAGCCGAGCAACGTCGCGAGGAACGTTATCGGCGGTTCCATGTTCTCCTTCCTCCCGGATATTACGTATCCTTCCCGTCGAACGTAAGACGCTCGATCGAAGCGAAGCCGAACGTTCGCGCGTCATCGCGACAGAAGTTAAAATCGCCGAGTTTCTCGACAAATTCCTCGGGACGATACTCACTCGGCCAAGACAGCGTGCCACGACGAGAGGATGTTTCGCGGTTTCGCGCGATCGGACGGCATTCGCGAGTC